CGGTGCCTGTGATACAACTTTGACACTTCTCCGAGTTTTCTGTACATTCTGTGCACTTTGTGTTGCATTTGCTGCATTTGTTATTTTTGTCAGCGTAATACCCCTTTGCACATCGAAGACACCCAATAGGTGTAAACATTTCACAATTATCACTTTGTGTGATGGTGCCTTGGTAACACTTTCCATGCAATAAAACATAATTAGACTCACATTGATAGCACACGTTTTCTATGAAATACAAACAATGTGTTATAAATGCTTGGCACTTGCCATTTTCAGACGTTGTGTAACCACGCGGGCACCGTGTTGTTGTTTTTGAAGTGCTTGAAATTTTGATTGGAATCACACAATTTTGTGAGGTGTCGAGTGAATACCCAAAAATGCATTTGGTGCACTTCTTCTTGTCACACAACTCACAGTTCAAAAAAGTCCTTTTACATAAGTGACATGCGTTTTGGTGATTGTAGTACCCATCATTGCAACTAACTACGGAGTGTGAGTATACTATCTTCTCTCCACATCCTTTAGATTGACATTTCTCATTGATTTAAATTGAATTTGATGCACATATAAGACACATTCCTCGAAAACAAAACAACCATTTTTCGTTACATTTTTTAAATTCGTGTTTTTGATAATCAAATGTACCATCTAACGCAGCACAAATACCACCAAATAATTCTTTACAAAACCGAGTTCTTATACAATTTCCCGATTTGTTCATGAAATAGCCATCACTGCATTGTATTGCATATGTTTTGTTGACACAATCTTTAGTGTTATTTTCACATGTTTCATATTTGTTGTTTTCGAAAAACATGTGTGATATGTACTTCCCTCCACTTTTAATAATACTTTTTAATTTGTTATTGTGATAATACACTGAATCGTATTTATTGCTACTTATAAATGTCAAATATTTGCTACTCAAAAGTAAAATTCCTTGAACGCTTCTAAATGCTGAAAGAGTAGTATACAAATCATTTGTAATAAAATACACTACAAGTGGGATATTCGACACTTCTATAATTAAGTACGTGTCGTTATTTAAACCGACTTTATTCACTGTTTCATTAACAAATGTAGTTGTAGAGTCCGCACAATTCACAGTAAATTGAGTTTTTTCTAGTAATACAGATGCCGTTTTTTCGATATAATTAAAACAATATAGTATTTGTGCTTTAAATAACTTTTTCTTTTCAACAATTCCAAATTTTCCTTTGAAATAACAATTGTAACAAAGATCAACAACAATATCCACTAAAAAGTTTTGTTTGAAGTCGATAAATAGTTTATTTATAGTCGGTCCAATGTATATTGTTTTGACTTCGGATATGACAAGCATTATATGTGTTTTATTGGCTGGGTACGGACAGTGTGGATGTGTAAATGATGTTAGAAGTCCGCCAAATTTAAAATTATTATTGAAGTTACTGTCATTTATATGGCAATACACTTCTGTTGGAAAATTAGCACTTTTTAGGGTTTCATTTTTTCCAAAATTTGAGGAAAATGTTGTAAAGTGAGATTTTGATGGTTTTATTTTGTGTGTCACTTTTATTAATAAATTTGGTGTTATTTTGACTACTATTATAATATCTGTCAGGACAATACCTAAGTAATCTTCCATTTGCTATCAATTGTAAATATACGATATATTTAGGTGGTGACATCATGTTATTAAAAGACACGAAGTCAAAACAGTTGTCTGAAAATATCGAATTCTCGACTCGAAAAGAGTATGCACCATTCAATATAGTAAATATTGGGTTTTTGTATATGTCTGCGTTATAAACAAATAAAGACACATAATTAAAATATAGAAAAAACAAACATCGACGTGAATAGACTTCATCTGTTTTTGTGAATGTAGCACATATTTTTTTGTTAATATGTTTGCTGTATATATATAATTTTGCGCCACTCTCTATCTCAATTTTAATAAGATGGTTTATATCTCTATTATATAATAACAGCGCATTTGTAATTTCGAAATGTGACCCACTTGGAAATAAGCCATGCGATGAATTCCAAAACTCTATACACGAATTGATTGATAAAAAGACACTTGAACTAAATTCAACGCTTGAATAATCGCGAAAAGATAATAAACAGTATGTATAAAATTCCTCTGGATATATTTGTGGAAGGTTAATAGAGATGGTGATATTATAAGAATATTTCGATGATGAATTGTCATGGAATGATAAAATAGTGTTCAATTGTATGTTGAGATTTTTATCAAAATATAGTTGTGATGAGTTGTAACACGTAAATGTGGCTGCTTCAACATAAACGGCGCCTTTGAAAGTTGCTTTGGAGTCATCATAGAGAATGATGGAACTAATAGTTTCGATTTTTGCGTTGCCTGATATTAAAAATGAAGAATTGTTGACAAAGATAAGACCTTTCTCATTCGTTGATTTTTCGTCTGTTGAATGCAACTTTCCTTCTATTTTAAATGATGAATAATTTGATATTACGATTTTCTTTATAATTGTCACAGACGCGTCTTGTTGGTTGTTAAATATGGACATATCACACATACAAATTGTACCATCCAATACAACACTTTTATTATTTAAATTACCATTTGTATTTATGATATTAAATTTGGCAATTTCAGAGAAGTCAAACACGTTAAAAGTAATACTACATTCACTTGCATCAATCTTGAAAATGGAATTTTGTTTTATTTGTATTGTGTTTGAGCGCAGTTGTATATTGTCAAATATTGAAATAACCGAATCACCAGTCGATATGATATTATCTACATTATAAACACTTAAAGATTGTATTGTCACGCTCGAATCCACAATTTCAAAGTGTTTAAAAGTGCACATTCCATTAAAAATGACATCACTGTGATTTGTAATTGATATCATAAAATTGTTTAATATGTTTTCTTTTGTAAATATAACTGTCGACTCTGATACTTCCAATGTATTTTGAATTGTTTCATTTAAAAATTTAACGTTGTCAAAAATCAAAGTCGAGTTCTTGTTAATTTTAACGTTTTTAATTTGCAGCGAAATGTACGATAAAGTGATTTGTGTGTTTTCCTCAGTTGTTAAAGTGTTTGTGTATATCAAACTTCTTAAAATTGCTTTGAATGTTGTGTTCTTTTTCATATAAATGTTGGTACTTTTTAATTCGCAATTCTCACATATTAAACTTCCGTTTTCTTCAATAAAAACGTCACCAACAATCACCGACTTTCCTCCATTGGAAATAATAAGACTTTTTGTAATTTTCAAATTTCCAAAAACAAATAACGATCCGTCACTAAACAAATTATTTTCTATCAAAAAGTCATTGTGTACTTCAACACTAGATCCTTCTGAGAGTAAAATTAAATAATTAGAAAATGTTTTCAGTCCTTCTAATTGTGTTTTTGAATTAATCTAAAATGAAATTCCATTTGAATAATCAAGATTCTGATCGAGTTGTATTTTGTAGTTTCCATCGATTTCAACACGCGGAAAAGTTTTAAATGTAATAGCACATTCTTTTGTCAAATTGAAGTTGTAAGAGATATAGAGAATATCACAATTGTGAATGTTGTCGTTACTGTCTTATTTGTTAATTATTTCGTGTTTAAAAATGAGAATTATTTGTGTTTTTTTTAAATTGTTTATTGTGTGTTTGTATGATCAAAACAAACTTAGTACTTTAAAACCATCAGAACAATGACTTGAAGTGGGTTGGCATATTATATTTGCATCAACAAAACACCAAAACATCAATAAGAACAACGCCATAATTCGTAAGTTTGTTCGATAAATAGTTTATAACTATGGATCTTTTTAAAAAGTCATTTTTAATATTTTTATAATCCAATTAAAACCTGTGTTATATTTTAACTTTTTTTAATTTGAATGGTTTTAATAATAATATCATAACAAAAAGTAGAATACATAGAATTATTTTGAACAAAAAATACTAATTTTGTATTATTCAATTACAATAGTAATATAGTAAATCCAAATTCATCAAAAACTTATCAAATTAACAATAATAGCTGTTCGGCGACTTTATAGTCCCTTTGAAAATCGCCGACTTTTTAGTGGTCTTAAAAGTCGCTTACCTAAATAATTAGTTAAATACTAATCAAAATACTATTTATCATGAAAAAGGAATTGAAAAAATAAACCATGTAAATTTAATATAATTATTATTAAAAAAATAAATGAAAAAATACCGTCTTAATTATTTTTTCTCAAATCATTTTTGAAATTATATTTATTTGATTATAAGATTACGAATTATAACAACTATTGTGTTTTTACACATTTTTGAGACAATAATGAATATGGTATAATTTATTAAAGTTAATAATTATTTAGTTATAAAAGAAGTCGCCGACTTTTCAGTAATATCAAAAGTAGCCGAACAGCCATTACCATTATCTTCAATATTACATATAATAAATATATTACACATGAACTACAACTTTAATTTATGATTGTTAAAAAACAACTAAGTAATACCCACTAGGGATGTCGAAACGGTTTCCTAAACGATTTTTTGTTTATTTCTGAAACAAACAATTTTAGTATGTTTTAAAACATGAATAAAAAAGTTTGTGAAACAATTTCAGTTTTTGAAATTGTTTTAAAAATAAATAATACCTGTTGGGTTTTCAAACACCGTGTTTTAAAACTACTTGTTTCCAAAACAAATGTTTCTCAAACTTTATATTTTAATTGTGTTGTAAAATGACATTTTCAAACAAAATTTAATTTCAAAATATTTTATTTTTATTATTGTAATTGTTTAAACAAATTATACTAATAATGTCAAAATTATTTTTTTTAATTTTTATTCAAAATTTACTTTTTAATACAGTCATTAGTCATTTTTTTAATTAAAACAATTAACAAACGAGCATTGTATAACCAATAATTGATCCAAATGATTATTTGAATAAAATATGACATTTTTATCATTTATTAAAAGATACAATAAAATACGTCACATAGTCGATCCATTAGCTAAGAAAAATGTCAAATAGTCATTCATACAAACACGACAATAATAACAACATTATACTCGTTACAATCAAAAAATAATATTTTTTTGAAAAAAATACTAAATATTTTATACCATCATTTAAACCCAATCTTTTTTATCTCTTACATTTATGTTTAACCCCAAGCATGATCAACATTACATTGAAAAGTTAAATTAGTTGTTTTTGCATCACACTATTCGGTTTGTTTTAATTGAAAATAACAAAATAAAATTAACATTTCCAATTTTTAAATAATAAAAATATTAAAACTTGAAATACACTATTCTTTTGTATATTTCAGCAACCATAAAGTTT